CATATATAATTACAGATTGTTTTTGTGATTAATCACTATGCGTTAATTATGTTTAACTTGTAACAATGAAATTGGGGGTCACCACAACATCAGGAACTGTATTAAAGGGTCCCGGCATTAGGAAGGTTGCGAACCACTGGTAGACCGTCCCCTGCCTGGCACAGCGCCCCCACCTCCTTCGGGCTCACCCCTCCCGTTCACAGCCACCCGGCCTCCACCTGGAGCTGGAGGGAGTCGGGGCTGTCAGGGGTGGGGGCCGAGGCGCTGAGATTTCCCTCTGTAGCCCGGAGGGTTGAGCTTTCCGCTGACCTGCTGACCCGAAGGCACGAAGAGAGTGGCCCTGGAGTAGTCCCCCGTCTCCCGGGAGAGCTTCACCATCCTTCTGGGCTGTATCGCACAGAAGCAGGGGCCTCTTCCACAGCCACAGCCACAGCCCCAGGAACCCACAGCATTGCAGTCAGAGACGCTCTATCACCCAGGGCCACCTGGGGCTGCTGGGCGGACCACCTCCCTGGGGTCCTAGGACCTGTGGGAAGAGCTTCCAGGGCCTGAGAGGCCGGGACCCAGATTCTGCCCTGCCCTTTGCTGCCGGGTTGTGTGGGTGTCACCTCTCTGGGCCTGGGTTTTCCAGATGTAGCAGGGCGCTGGCCAGGACAGCACCCAGCCAGTCCGGCACAAACCTATCTGTTAGGGAGGGTGCGTCTCCCAGGCCAGGGCAGGCGCTCGCTGGTGGTCAGGGATGGAGGCAGCACTCAAAAAGGAGTTCTGAGGACCCACGGGGCGGGAGGGACCTGCTGGCCAGAGAATCGTTCAGGGTTGAGGGACTTCCCTGCAGCAGTACCGGAGGAGGGACTGGCCAGTGCTCTCACTAGTGGGGGCACAACTGAAATGACCTCCCCTGCACCCCACAGTCCCTGGCCCCGTGCATGAGGGAGAACCGCCTGGAGAGAGGAAAGGAATTCCTACCACCCTCACACTGGCTGCCACGGCTCCTGTCTCCCCCTCTGGGCTCCTCCAGTGGGGCAGGCACCCTGCAGGAGAGACCTGTGTGGAGCTGGAAGAGCTCCCAGGGGCAGGATGAAAAGAGGGGCAGGGTTTGGCTACGTGCAGGAGTGAGAGCATGTGGGAGCGGTGACCGTGGGAGCACAGGCATGGAGGAGGATGAACATGGCCACGTGCGGGGCCCTGGGCCCCCATCACGGGGTTCCTGAGCGGAAGCCCAGCCTCCAGCCTCGAACAGCGGGACAAGTGCATAGGATGGGTCAGGGGGCTGCCCCTGGGTGTATGGGGCAGGGCTGGGGGGACCCAGAACCCTCTGATGTACAAGGCCCAGAGCCCAGCAGGAGCCTGCCCAGGGTCGGACAGCAAGAGGCTAGCGTTGTCCCTGCCCAGGGACTTGCCCTGCACCTGCGAGCCTCCCTCCGGATGCTGGGAGAGGGAACCTGGTGCCAGGGGATCCAAGACAGGCCTCCTTCTCAGGAACGTGGCCTTTCCTGCCCTCAGGGGCAGGCCTCTCTCACCTGCAGCCCCTCGGAGCGGTGCCTGCTCTCCAGGCCCATCCCTCCCCCTGCTGTCTCTGTTGCATCCCTGTTCACCCAGGTGCCAGGCCCGAACCTGAGGCATGTTAGGAGCTGCCCCGAACCACACGGTGAAGGACCGTGCCGGTGGGCGAGGCTTGGCTGTCATGGTGGGATGTTTGATGTGAGCTGAGATGTGCACCCCATACACGTCTGCCTGCTTTAGTGACCCGGAGCTGTGTCACCAATAGTTTAAGCATCTTAGAAACAGACACTCCTTTTCCCACTGGTGTCCACGGATCTCTCAGAGACGGGCACCATGTTTTGAATGGCATATACTGGAGGAGGAGCAGGAGGAAGAGGAAGGGGAGGAGGAGGAGGAAGAGAAGAGGAGGGGAGAAGCGTCGGTCCGTCCTTGCCCTCCTACCCTAAGAGGCCAGCACTCATTGAGGGTGAGCTCCTGCTCGCTCCCCGGAGGGCAGCTTTCCGAGAGGCGCTATTTCCCCTCCCACGGTGAGTGCAGAGCAGGGGCTGGGGCTGAGGCTGGGCCCTCTGGTCCGTGATGCCAGCCTCTGCCCGGGGCAGCTCCATGGTGGGGGTGCCATGGGAGCCCTGCCTGAGACCCAGACTGGGGGCTCTGGGGAGCAGGTGGGAGAGAGGATCTCGCCAAGAAAAATCAAAGAACAGGACCTGGCAGGAGGGCCGCCAGGGCCAGGAGATTGAGGGCTCCCCCCGGCTGCCTGGAGGAGGCAAAGGGGGAAGAATGAAGACAGCCACCTCCCTGTGTGCAGACCTTCCCCAAGCACCTGCCCTGGGCCAGGGAGTGTGTAGGACAGGGCATGGGCCTCAGAGCAGGACAGACCAACCTCACTGCTCCCTCT